AAATAAATAAAAAATATTGTCAAATAATCACAATAATAATGGAAGAAAAACGTTCTCTGATAGCCTGATAGCATATGCTATCACTTTCACTGGCCAGGCCTTGCACCAGCGGAGATTCTACTTTCATCTCATTAGACACTCTATTCCCCCCACTTTTCTCACACGCACACACACGCACACACACACGCACACACACACACAAAAGGGCGCCCGCACACACATCATCCACAATTTTTTTTAGAAATATCAAGTGATTCCCTCGTTTTTTTTGGCATCATTCAATCATTTTGAATCGTTTCCTCGCGTTAGATGTATTTTAGCATCATTCAACATTTTTTTCTTTCGTCTTTCCTTTGTCCTTTCTTTTTTTCTTCCTTCCTCCCTTTCTTTTGTCTATCTTTCTTTCTTCCTTCTTTCTTTCTTCCTTCTTTCTTTCTTTCTTTCTAATGTTTTATCTGTCAACCTTTCCCAGTTTCGTCTTCCTTGTTTTTCTCATTTACAGCTATTTCTTTCTTGCTCTTTTTTATTTCATCACCCTCTCTATCTCTTTCTACCCCCCCTCTCTCTCTCTCTCTATCACACACACACACACACACATGCAAGTTAGATATAATAAAGAGTAATGGATACTATTTACACCATCCAGATTTCAAAAGTATACGATTCTACTTAATTTTAAAGTATAGAAAGATTGTTGCGCCAGTTTTAAATTAGAGATAACCTATTTGCCCTTAAAATTAGCATTTCCACAACTAGGGTTTTACCGCTGTTCAAAGAATTGTATGAGTTGAAACCAATAAGCAACCAATTCAGTCACCAAGCAGTCATAGATAAATTTCCTTTTTCTTTTATCGTTTTCTTATCAGTGTTTTGTTTTGTGTTTTTTTTTTTTTTTACTTGAATGCAATTTAAATATTTTCTCCCTCTCATTTTTCGTCAAAAAGGTTTTCACTCCTTAGTTTTTTTCAACATTCTCTGTCTGTTTGTCTCTCTGTCTCCGTCTCTGTCTCTCTCTCTCTCTCTCTCACTACTTTCCTATTCCCCGCTCTATATTTTCTCCCTTATACTCTTGCTTCCTTTTGCCTCTCCCTTGTATGCATGTTTCCTTATGTCTCTCTGTTATATAAATACTGACGCCTACCAATGCGCCATTTTTTCTCGTCCTTTCTCTCTTTGTCTCTTTCAATCTCCTCTGCTCTCGTGAAATGCGCGAGATTACATCCCTTCTTCAAACTATATGTTACTGCGCCCAGAAAGGAGAGAGCAGTTTTTATAATGGCATTGATAATATAAGCCGTTTCCTTATAAGGAAACATTCGGCATTCATTGACCGGTCAACCAGGACTTCAGTAGGATGAAATTTAAAAAGTGTTTCTTTTAAAACAATTTTTCCGGAAAATAGGTTTCTCAAGTTCAGTATCTGTTATCACTCTTTCCAGTATCGATGGGGAGTTTTCTTCCTCGCCTTTTGCTTGGGGTAGTGTGCAAAGTCAGTATTATGATTATATCACTATTTTCCCTTCGAGTTACATGTGATATCCATTTTAGTTGTTCCGCAAGTCCTCAAATGATGTGTCTTCTATTATCTGATACAGTTCTTTGTGATTCTGTAGCGCAGAGCCACAATATTCGAAGAAGGATTCACTTCACCAAGACCCATAGGTTTCACTCGCTCGAAGCCATTTTTATGTTTGCATTCTGTATCTGCTCTCAAGGTAGTGTCATTTGCGCAGTTTGTATTGTTAATATGATATTTACCGATAATAAATCCCACCAGGGTTTTCTAATTGTCTTAGGATCGTCTGGTTGTACAAATTAAATAAATCCCCTGAGAAAACGAACCTTTCTAATATTTCTCTTTAGAGTACTCCCCTTTAGAATACGAGTTTAAAGAGTACACAAAATTCGAAATAGAAAAAAAGGACCCGGATGCCTATTCTCAGCTGATTTATTAACTGGAGTTACAAGTAATTTCCATTTATGGGAATCCAGTGTAATGACGAATACATTATCCTAATTAACTAACCATTCTCTAAATATATCATAACAGGAGAAAAGAGTTACTTATGATAATGTTCAACGCAAAAGGACAAGGATAAACCTCCAAACGCGACCCCAAAAACTGAGCTCTATAGAATAAAGGTAATGTTGCGCATGCTCTTGGATTGTCGATGTATTATTTAATTAGAGTTCTTAAAACTCAGTAAAACACTAAATGCACGTTTATACGTCCAGCAGTTGCAACGTGTCCATAAAGTGTTGATGCAAAAGCGTGAGAATAGGAAAGATTTTGTTCTCCTCCGTAATAATGCAAGGTTCCGTAAACAAAAATATCAAAAAGAAAATTTAGATAGTCTGTTCTACTTCACCTGTCATATTAACCTGATCTTATTCTTCAGTCAGTTATGTGCCATGCGTGATGCACACTTAGACGATCATGTATCTTTCGATACATGACTGACGAGGCAGTAGGTTGCCATTTTTTCTTTTATAGTCTTTATTTATCCTATCAGCCTGGGATATAACAGTTTACATTCCTTATAATTATATAATTCTTTAGATATTAAGGAGAAACTCATAATACCACTGTTCTCGTTCAGTTAGTTCTGTGCCATGCGTGATACACGTTTAGACGATCATGTATCTATAGCAGATTTTTCCCGCAGTAGGTTGCCATTTTCTTTCTGCGGTAGACCAGTTGCTATCCAAGTCTGTAGAACCCGGTCTGTCCTGCTATTTACCCATAGATTGTAGAAGAGGATTCATACCTTTCCCAAGGGTATTATCACGTAAGTGAATGTAATAGATTTGAATGGATTTCGAACTCGGCTCTCCGAATCCTCAATCCGAGACGCTATCCATTACTCCACTATTATTACCGATTATTACTTTTTTCAATTGCAGCAAAACGCTTTAATAGGGAACATTTTTCTAATGAAAACCAGATTTGTTGAAAACTTCTTCACATCAAAACCTAATGAATTTTACCCAGAGTACCCAAAGAGATACCCGATAATTGGCTACATGACATTGTAAATAATTTTACCCAGAGTACCCAAAGAGATACCCGATAATTGGCTACATGACACTGTAAATAATTTTACCCAGATTACCCAAAGAGACCCCTGAATTGGCTACATGACACTGTAAATAATTTTACCCAGAGTACCCAAAGAGATACCCGATAATTGGCTACATGACACTGTAAATAATTTTACCCAGAGTACCCAAAGAGATACCCGATAATTGGCTACATGACACTGTAAATAATGTTGAATATGTAATTAAATTTAACACCGATGTACTGTAAATTGTTTTAAAAAATGAAGTTTATAAACGAAAACGGAAATTATTTATGACTCAACCTTAATATTTAACTTTATTATTCACACAATTAAGAAAAAAGAAAAAAAAACAACTACTTCGACCACCAAACTAGCGTTTTTTTACTATTAGTGTTCTCTCTTTTATTCATTTGTATCTATGAGTGAGAAATATGATATATACTAAGTTTACCTGGAGTAAAATCACCAATACAGATCACCCAATGAGATCGAAACCGAAATAATAGAGATCTTCGACAAGAGCTTCCAATGCTGCGAGTAACGCATTTATGCTATGTATAGAAAAATAGGCCGTAGTCCCAAGTCAGTCAGCAAGAATCGAACTCACTATTCTACAGTTTGGTCCGCAAGATAATCTTAATAATTCTCACTGTCCGATAGGTAACGTCAATAAGCTATTTTTAATCAGACATGGCGAACTGTCTAGTGAGTATTGATTTCAATACACTTAGGAATCAGTCTACATGATGAGTTTCTTAATCATCATTCTCCGACAGTGCCCTTACTCAAGGCTACAGTTGCATGGTAATTTATGAATAACGAATTCAGTATATTTGGAAATCGATTTGCGAGGCGAACCTACTGATCAACAGGCCACAATAGGAGCTCAACAAATCTGTATTTGGCACTCAGTTGTTTATCTTGATTACCAACAATGTACGTATATACATTTGCAAACCTTTGGTGACTTCCCGTGGGGTCATAGCTCTAAGTGTCTCTCGCAAACCATTACTAGCGTAATATGTAGCAGTAAGTAGTATTTACCCTGGTCTCTCCTCTGAGTCGGGACGTGACACAAGGTCGGGTTTAACGTGGGGAACCCGTGAGCGTACCCTCGGGCCAGGGACAAAAAATGCCCATCCCCAGCAACCGATCTTCCCCATCTCTCTGGTGCATTGAAAGTGTGCAGCTGCGGGAAGCTGTTCACCGGAGCCGGGTACCTCACAGTATTTTTCCCCAGGTGTGTCTCTGTCTGCACACAGAGCCACACCTGAGTTAAACTCTGCCCGAAGACAGAGAAGCAACTGAGAGATTATAATACTTTCCCGGCATGAGCCGTGGAAAGTGATGATATTCACTAACCGCCCCGCACAGTCGGATGTGGCACAAGGCCGAGTTTATTGTGGGGTATCCGATCCCGTAGGCTCGGGCAAAAATTCCCCGTAGACCCCGTAAAAACGGGGATGGGTAGCTGTCTACCACCCCAGACGAGACTCTGCCCTTCGGTATAGCCTCGTCTAGGTTCCTCTCTACACAGAGGCAGAGAGTTTGGCAAGCACACTACCGAAGTAATCTGGATAGTGATATGTAGCACTAAGTTAAGCTTGGCGAATACTGAGTTCGTGAATTTAAAGTTCATTAATGACAAATTGTTGAATGCTAAAACGGGCAATATCTACCTAGTTTAAAAATCAGCAATATCTACCAACTAAAGCTAAAGGCTCTAGTTATGTACGGAATCATATCAATAAGTCCGTAGCGTTATTATGTGTTAATACAGTTATTAAGTGAATTTTCATCTAAAACATTCACTTTATAATGTTCTATATATCCGATTACATGTGTGAACATTGGATTAAATTCATTGATAGCTCAGGAGGTACTGATTATTCGATGTATATTAATAGTACTGAACTCTAATGTAATATCAGTCCTCCTATATGACAGTAGATGCTGGACAGTCACCTCACAGATGAAGAAGAGTCATGAATCAACAGAAATGTGGTTCTACAGAAGGATGTTGAGAATACCACAGAACGAACATGTGAATAACGACGAAGTTTTAAAGAAAATGAAAACAAAAATAACACTTATACTTAATATCCGGAAGAGACAGTTGAAATTTCTAGAACACATAATGAGGACAGAGGCCTTAGAGAATTTCGCACTCACAGGACATATTGCAGGAAAGAAGGACAAAAGAAAGCAGAAAATGACCTACCTAACGAGCTTGTGCATATAAAATATGGATTACGAGAGATAGTAATAAGCAGTTACAAAGGGTAGGAAATTGTGGAGAAACACGATAGCCTAAAAATGAACTGTTCCACTTTTGTTTTTTGTTTTTTTTTAATATGACTGGCGATGAAAAGTATATTATTTACAACAATGTCAAGCACAATGTCAAGCAAAGAAAATGAACCACTCTTTGGGGATTTTTCATTTATTCGCCGTATTCAGCAGATCGTTCACTTCCCGATTAGCATTTATTCTGATCTTTATAGAATTATCTTATTGAAAAAGCATTTGAATTCCATGGAAAACTGCAAAAGATACCTACATCGCAGTTCTTTACAAAGCCAGATAAAAGATTCATAGAAGATGGAATTAGGAATACTGCTTCGAGATGGCATCAGATTCTATGACAAAATGGCAAATGTTGTCAAAGAAAACTCTTATTTTTTTTTTATTATAAGCGTTTCCAGACGTATAAACGTGTGTGCGTATGGAGGAGCTTATATACTTATATATAAATCCATGTACGTGCATCTATGTCTGTATGTAAAGACATGTTTCTATAATATGTGTAATGTGTGCGTGTTTCAAATATGAAGTTAAGTTTGTAAATATTTCAGTATATTCGTGAGTATGCTATTCACTACTTGTCTGTGTGTAAGAGCATTTGAATTGAAGCGGAAGTCTCCGGAAGTGTCTGCTCATGCATACGTGTGTCTGTTTGTCTTGTGTATTTTGGGAGTTTTTTTTTTATTTTCTTTCCCATCTAAATGAGCCTTTTCTTTCTCTCTTTCTCTATCTCTTTCTCCCTCTCTCTATTTAATTCTTTCTTTCTCTCTCTCTCTCTCTCTCTCTCTCTCTCTCATTTGGCCACTTTCCAATATTCTTAAGCTGGAGCATACAACTTCTCAATAACCCTCTTCTTATTTCTCTCTCTTTCTTTTCATCGCTCTCTATTTTTCTTTCTCTCTCTATATTTATCCCTCTGCCTATTTCAGTCTCTCTTTCTCCCCCCCTCTCACTCTCTGTCTAGTTTAATCACTTTCTAATTTCGAAGGGCTGATTTTGTTTACAGACTCTCAATAACGCTCTCTCTCTCTCTCTCTCTCTCTCTCTCTCTCTCTCTCTCTCTCTCTCTCTCTGATTTTCATTGTGCAAGGACAGGGTGGGTTGCCTTTCTCTATTTTCTTTCCAATCTCCTAAAATTCCAGCCGAAGTTTCCCGTCATCTCGATGATCCTCTCTCTCTGCCTCTCTATCGTTATCCATTCATCCATCCATCTCTTGACCATAACGAGCCCCGTGCTGACTCGTGTAAAGCCTGTATTCATTCCACCTGGCCTCAGTTCGCACCGCCAACGAACGAATCGCATTAATCTAATCTATTTTCATTATAATAACGCTCGCCGCCTTTGATCGCGACCGTGACGGCGCCATCTTTAATTGAACCATCAGAGTTCACCCAGGGATTTATTCGCAAGTTATTGGTCCTCCGTTCAGCCGACGATTCAGGCCCGGAAAGGACACGGGGGAAGTGTGCATAGGATGGTGAGGAAAAATGAGGCTGAGGAAGGCGTGAAAATTAGGTCGACGCTGATGAAGCGAATTCTCTCCCTTGAATCCGGACGTGACATTTTATATGTTGATTTTTTTTTCATCTTTTTGATTTGGTTCTATGTTTTTGCATCTCTTCTGTTTCATCCTCTTGTCGGCCACCAGATGTCAGTGTGAACTGTGATTCACCAATTATTAACGCTACTTAAAAGAAGAAAAATATTTTCTTCTTCATCGCTTTTTTTTTCGCTAATCTTATTCTTTTTAATTATTTTCCTGTTCTTCATTCTCCTCTTCTTTTTCCTTCTTTGCCACTTTCTATTTTTTTATCAGAATTGCAATCCTTCTAAATGTCCATCAAAGCTTAGCCTCATATGCTTCAATCTGATCTTTTTCCCATCTTTTCATACAGAATTCTTCGTCAAGTTATTTTTCCACACAATCATCATCATTTCTCTTCATGTTCTTACCACCATCATGATCATTATTTTGATCGTCATCATTATTGTTGATTGATTCGTTTTTTACGACTTATCAACCTTTTGCAAGTTATTTATAATCAGAAAAAAATTTAAGATTTTAATTTTTTTAAAGCTAATAATGATTTAATGATACAAGTCCTACTAATTAATCCATAGCTGGGGGAGTAGAAGTAAATTCATACCTTTTCAAAGGGTATTTGCGTGTAAGTGAATATAACGAACCCATCTGGAATTGGAATTCGGCTCTCCAATTAATAATTCCGAGTCATTATCCATTACACCACTCGCACATCAAAGCTTACAGCGCCTGGTATTCTCAAGCGGTCACCCATGTATGTATTGACCATGCTCGATGTTGCTTAACTTCGGCAAGATAGATAGATAGATATAAACAGACTAAGATAGATAGATAGATAGATAGATAGATAGATATGAATGGAATATAATATGCGGTAAGAATGTTATCGATACATATTTGGCGTAATTGGCTTATTTCCTGTAAATTCCACTTGATTAATATTGATCCCTAAAAATGAACCATTGAAATACAGTGTCCCAACGTCAACTCCACCATCATGATGAGCACGAAGCCCAATAGATATCCGGTAAAAATGGAAAATATTTAGGGCACTTGATCTGATGCTACAGGGTCAAAAATGCTTCTTTCTCCATAAGATGCGAGTCAAGCTAGAATGGTCTTATTATAAATCGAGCGGAAAAGCGCGATTCTAGTTTCCGGCTCGGAAGACAAGTTAATCCTTTTTTTTTTTTTTTTTTTTTTTTTTTTTCTTTTCTTTTCACTTCGTTAGAAATATTTAATTTCTCCCCGGTATCTTAATATGACCCCCCCCCATCCAATATAACCAAAAATATTTCGATATTATTTGGATCTGAAGTACATCCGTTTGTTATTAAAAAAAAAAAACAGAAATTTTTATTGATATGCATTTACCAGTATATTTTGTGTGCACTGCTCTGGAAATAAACGTGACTGTGGGCTTCATTCACTCGACAATTTTTATTACTTTCTACATTCTCTACCAGTACATTTTTAATCGAATTTACCCAAAGCAAGGCAGTAAAGCCACTAAGACACAGGGGGTTACTGAGTGTGAAAGAATTACAAAACAAAACAAAAAACATTATGAAGGCTTGAGAATGATAGAAGAGTAATCATCAAGACAGTAGATAACGATTGACATTGCATTCAAATTTTTGAAGACCAAAGTTGGCCGGAAAGCATGGAGACGGAAGAGAGTTCCACAAGCGAGACGTGCGAGAAACGAATCTGTTAGCATAGAACTTATGGTTACATCTAGTCAATTCACTAGTAAGTTGATAAGGCTCTGTTGCCAATCTAGAACTGCACTTAAACTCATAAATTCTAGGTACCATAGAGGAAAGATTCTCCGAACAATTACCATGAGAGTATTTATAAAAAATGCATAAGGAGGCAACTTTACGGCGGTGGGAAAGAGTCTGAAGCCGAGATGCCAGGTCAGGACAAATAATATTATTGATTTAGTATTTTTATTTTTTCGTTCACATCTTTTTTTTTTTTTTTTTTTTTTTTTTTCATTTGGGTGACACTGAGAAAGTGCTTGTAAACTAATCTTGCTATTTCATCCCGATCACGAATCCTTGTAACTTTAGGAAGTTAATATATATATATATATATATATATATATATATATATATATATATATATATATATATATATATATAAAATAATTTTTAATATTTATTTAAGTCTGAAATATTTATTGGTTATATTTCTCATTGTCTGTCATTGTCTGTTATATGTATGTGTATCTATCGGTGTCTATGTGTATGTAGAGTGTATTCACTGTGTGTGTGGTGTGTTAGTTTACGTATCCCTTTTTCATAAAGGGCTGTAATTTTGTTCATGTTTTTCCCCACCACCTCCTTCTTTTTTTTTTTTTTTTTTTTTTTTTTTTTTTTTTTTTTGTGTTTATGTATGTATGTGTGTGTGTGTGTGTATTTATATATATATGTGTATGTGTGTGTGTATCTAATTATGTCTGGGTGCTTATGTATTATAATCTGATTGTGTTTTTGTTGTCTTGACGCGTGAGTTTAAGACCACATTTAAACTTTAAAAAAAAAAACGGAAATGAAATAAAAAAAAAAATATATATACATGTATTATCAAATGACCGGATATATTATAGCGTCCTTGTCGAACATAATTTCAATGAAGAAATGAATTGAATAAACATATGTATTTTTTTTTTCTCAATAATTTTGTAGTTTTTAAACTTAATAGTGATTAAATTTGGATTTTAAAATTGCCAGTTTTTAATTTTAATATTAAATTTTATCATATAATTTTATAATTATTAGTTAGTATAAATTATTTTTAATATTACACGTATTTTAAAGATCTGAATAGCTATTATAGCAGGATTTCGTTGTCAAGCTTTTGAATCTTTCTATACTTCGTTTTTGATTGGTTATTCTAGCTTTTGTAACAATGTTTTCCCCCTAGTGTAGGATCGTTAATTAATCTGAAACTTTTAAAACCATTTATTTTATTTTCAACATCATCACTTGATAAGACACAGAATGTGTTGAAACAAAATGGCTATTTTTGTAGTGATTTTATAACATACTTATGTTATAATTTTTTTATAAAAATAATTATATATATATATATATATATATATATATATATTTTATAGAATATATATTTTGCTTATTATAATGGAAATAGATTATTTACATTATTCGGATATAACTAATGCCTTTTATCTCCACATGTAAATGGATAAAGTATTTAGTTAACCATTGCAACGAGTGTGAGTCCGATTAAGGTAGTGGAGATATTTGGAGATAACTGATATTTTAATATCCATTCTGAAAAATTTGGAACTAGATAGTCTATATATATATAAATTCAACATTCTGAGGTTTAACCATAAGTGTAAACAAGGTCGAAACATTGTAATCAATATGGCGACAAAGAAAGGGCAACAGTCCGATTAATGTAAATAGTGTACATAATACCTCATCTCAAAAATATAGTCAGATACAGGTAGAGATAGGTTTAAAAAGATACAGGGGTCATAAAAAGATAAGAACAAAAACCTCGTTCCTTCCCTTTTTTTTCTGACAAATCTTAAATGTTTTATTGCCACTTAAGCAGAAGAATATTTTCTCAACAAGTTCAAGAAAAATTGGGATTACTACTAAACACAACATACAATGGTTGAACATGGGAAAACATGAGGAAAATTAATTCACTAAAATAATACTTAGATTATATATATATATATATATATATATATATATATATATATATATATATATATATATGTGTGTTGTGTGAGAGAGAGAGGGAGAGAGAGAGAGAGGTGTAGAGAGGGAGAGAGAGATCCTCCAGAATTCCCGAAAATTTAAAGACCGCTCTAAAAACAGGATTTAATACAAACTAGGCCCGTTGTACAGAGTCTTCACTGCCATTTTCGATATACTTATTCGAAGGAAACTGTAGAATGTGCGCCATATAGTTAGTAAATATTTTCGTGTGTAATTTCCCCGGTTTCTTTTTATTTTAATACCTAATTTGAAATTGTGACTACAGAAAGCGGTGAACAAGCTCATATTTATTCCCCCCCTCCCTAAAAAAAAAAACACAAAGAAATTATAGGACAAACCAGAATACAGACAAACAAATAATAAACTGCAAGTTAAGTAGGATAAGTATCAATATTCTCCAGTTCATTTTGCGATTATTTTTTTTTTTTTTTTGCTTTGGAAAGAATTTCTCATACTATGTGAGGACTGTCAAAGAACTTCCTTTGATCGCGCTAACCACGACCTTCTTCGATCATGCTTCATTTCTGAATACACTATATAGATATATGTGTGTGTATGTGTGCGTGTGTGAGAGAGAGAGAGAGAGAGAGAGAGAGTGTGTGTGTGTGTGTGTGTGTGTGTGTGTGTGTGTGTGTGTGTGTGTGTGTGTGTGTGTGTGTGTGTTGGAGGCAACATCACTACGGAACCTGTTGCTGCTGTGTTTTTCGTAGAAAGCAGATTTTACTGTATGGAGTTGCTAACACTCTACCTGAAGAGTTTTCAAAGTTTTCATTCATCTAGTTTGTTTACAAACCGAAGCTATATCGCCAGCCAGGTCTACCCTGTTATTAGCGCCTAGTGGGTGTGAGAAAAAGAGACGAATTCATACTTTTCCAAAGCGAACGCAACGACCTCGTCTGGCATTTGAACACCACACATCAATCCCATTTTCCGTCGTCGATAACACATTTACGCATTATCTCATCTCATCATCTCTCTCTCTATATATATATATTTATATATATATATATATATATATATATATATATATATATATTGGGAGAGGGAAAAGGAAAGAAAGAGACGATATGAGAAAAAGAGAACGTCGTCTAGAGTATTTTTTTTCTAATTATGGATGAACAAATTTTTTTACAAAATAGCTTATGGAGCCTTCATACCAAACATTGCAGTAACTTAGGCAAATGTTTTTTATTACAAAGATCGTGGAAAGTAATTTTTTTTGTATTACAGAAAACATTGTAGTGCCTATCGCTTAAACTTGAGACTTTCCACACCACCTAACTTTTGAGTCGCAACTTATAGTCCTTTCTATGTTTAAGCGTCTTCAGTTCGCTCACCCATGCATCAAAAAGCTGAAAAGCCCTAACTTGGCATTCCCGATCTCTTCTGGGAGAAGCAGAACTTGTTTACGTAAAACCAGAAAAAAGGTTTTTGAATGATTGATTTGTTTTTTACGGTTGATGAACCTTTTATTATTATTTTTAGATTGCAAGAATTTCTTGGGATATAATGATTTTTACTGATTTCTACTAATTAATCCATAGCTAGTATCGGAAGATGTGTATTCATATCTTTCCCAAGGATATTTGCGCGTAAGTGAATATAACAAACCCAATCTGAATTGGAACTCGGCTTTCCGATTTCCATTTCCGAACCGTTATTTATTACACGGCCCGCATATCCAAACCTACAGAACTTGGCATTCCTAAGCGGTTACAAATCTAGGTACTGACCAGCGTCTGCGTTGCTTAACTTTGCTGTTCTTAGGAGAACCGACCAGGAACAAGGTGAAATATCTTGAGTGAGTCCTTCTTGAGGTCAAATCATGCTTTTTTTCAACCACATTGGTGGTCAGTGAACTCAAGCAACCTCTGTTTCTGATTCCGTTTTCGGCATTGATAACCGCTACGCCACCTAGCGCCATACTTGTATCTGTTTGTTGATAAGCAGAAAAAATAGATGCGTGTCCAGACGTTGACACAAAATGTATTGTGAGCGATTTTTCTGTGTCGGCTATAAGTAACCAGCTGCAGAGGATTAGTGTCTCTTCCTACCAACCTTTCCTATCAATACCATCATTCCTTATATCTATATGGGACGGCGAAACATCTGTGAGGGGTTGTACCTCAGTCCCAATAATATAGCCACGTTCGGGGGAGGGGGCACGTTCTTGAATCGGGTGAGCGAAACTACTTTCCAAAGTGATTTCAAAAGTAAGACTGGCATGATCCACTGGTCCGCCTGTCAAGTAATAGTATTGTCGCCTTGGGTTGAAATAGGGAAGGAACAAGCGGTGGGGTGTAACAGGTTAGCCTCTCTGCGAACTCCTTTTCACCACCAGATAACATGGACACACCCATCCCATACGAACCGGATTAAAGAGGATCTAGGTTAAGAAGAAAGAAATAAACAACTGGAAAGGGGATGGGAAGCAGTGAAATTCATCTGGAAATATCGTTCTTTGCTTACAAATCCAGAAGAAGCTAACGCCTATTTCAGAGGGCGCCTGGCATAGAGCTTTAATGTAGAAGTAAGAGTGTAGACGCCTTGCCATTATAGTTAGATTCTCAATGGAAGTGCAACCTTTGAGATATTGTTCTAAATGTATATAAAGCATAATGTATATTTTAAAAAACCCACATTACGACCAAAAACGTTTGCGGTTCCTCTCTTCTTTTTAATATACATTTTTTTCTCTCGTTTGAACAACTATAACCTCTTCTTTTTATATATATATATATATATATATATATATATATATATATATATATATATATATATAAATAAATATAAAAGAATGAAATGTAAGATTTCAGCGTTCAAAACATAATTTAAAACAGGGCTCTATACCAAAGTAAAGCAATAAATATTTTTTATTATGCAGTGTTACATTAGAACATGCACATACCCACTACAAAACTGTACATCTTGTTTCAACGTTAAAATTTTTTAAATTCTTTTTTTAAATTTTTTAACCTTTCATCAGAGTTGATGAAACGTTAAAATATTTTTAAAATTTGAAACAAGATGTGCAGTTTTATAGTGTGTATGTGCATGTTCTAGTGTAACACTGCATAATATATATTGAATAAATTACAGACATTATGTCTGCTAATTTTTAACAAAATCCGTTCATACTCACGAATAATCTTCCCTGTATTGATGCTAAAGGTTGAGAGAAATGTGTTATAGCTGTTTAAATTTGCGTTTAAATTTAAACTTGACACTGTCAAACCGTTTTGCATATGAAAGCATAACGAAAAAATTATGGTAATTGATAACAACGCACAACTTTGTATAAATACTTATATTAATGAACATCATATAGTTTTGTATTACTTGCACCCCTGGAGAAGATCTTGGAAGAAGATCGAAAGTAATTGGGAAATGAAAATAATAGAAATTTAAACAAATATAGCACATTTCTCTCATCCTTTAACATCAATACATGGAAGGTTATTCGTCAGTATGAACGGATTTTTATTAAAAATTAGCAGACATAATGTCTCTAATTTATTCAATCAGACATGCCTAAAAGAGAATTTGCTGCCTAAATACACAAATATAATATATATATATATATATATATATATATATATATATATATATATATATATATGGGGGGTGATAGGATAAAGAACAACTAGGGAAACATTTATCTATATGACATGTTTCACTTTTATTAAAAGCTTCATCAAGGAATGAGATATGGGGAAAAGTGAAAGAAATTTTGATATTTTTTCTCCTGTTTAATTTTCATTGGTTAATCAAGATTCACGTGCATTCGACCAGTTAATACAATTTGGGAAACCCGGGGAAGTTGTGCTTGCACTAAGTCACAAGTCATCGTGACCGAGGGTTTGAGCCTACTAGCCTTGTTCAGACTGTTCATCACGCTAGATAACGCGCTCTCTCCCTGAAACTGTTACTAAGGTCCGCTCAGCACAGTTGCAGTATAAACCACAAGTGGGCCCTGTGGATGCTTAACAAACACAAATGTGCCTGAGCAGACGTCTGCAGTGGGGAATAGCTAGCCGACTTAGTAGACTGGCATCTTCGGATTCGAATGGCCGAGCCATTTATTTTACTTATTGGTATAATTTATTGAAGGTCAAGACGAACAACACTGCAGATCTTCTTTGAATCTCTGAATATATAGCAGGTGCATCAGACCAGATGTGGTAGCAGTACACAAAGCGTGGACGAATTGTAGACTTATAAATACGTAAGATAGATTTAGGCGAGAAAAATTGTCTAACACGACAGAGTGAACCAACTTTCTTAGCAGCAGATTTAGTATTTGATTCAATATAATCTTTCTACTTCATATCAACGGAAAACTTTAGTCGGAGAAAACAAATGGGTCACTCTTCTGGAGGTTAGTATCAGCCAAAAATACTTAACAATTATATCCTGTTAAAAGAAACATCATTTTCTGAAATTAAACCAATAGACTTTTATTTCGCATTTTAGATTTATATGAACGTTCTAGAACTTAATTCCTGCAGACAAAATATGTGAAAATGAAGTTTTATTATTTATTTGGAAAAATTAATAGCAGTGATGAATTTATACAAATGATACAGCACATCGCAATGGTATTTTCATATGTTGAGACCAATAAGTCAAACTGAGGGTTTCTGTTTAGTTCTCAATTCCAGCAAAAGGTCAAGGGCTTCAATTCCCTCCACCTCGCCTCCCCCAGCGCCTTGTATGCTAGTTTAAATTTAGTTTTTAAATGAAAGGCGATATGTTTGTCAAAGCAATAATTTATTATTAAAAGAGTATAAAATAATCACCGCAATCATTTTCTTCGCTTAACGAAATTTACATTATAGATTCGAACCTTGTACGAGTTCTATACTTAGGTATACCCAATTCAGCAATTCCATGTTGCAGGAGTCTATTTTATGGATATTTACGAAGGCGAAAGTATTTTTCCCTTCATGATCGTTACCATGAAAGTATTTCTAATTGCAAGCAAGATGGTGTAAAAATCAAGGGACCGTTTCGTGTCATGTGACACTAACGAGAAAATATGACCATCACAGGATGCTGCCATCTGTAATATAAAGTTACTGTGCTAATGAAGCGAAACAAGACAAAAAGAAAGAAAAAAAGAAAGAACAGATTGAGGGAAAAGAAGCAAGTTGAAAAAGATAAAATAAAAAAAAAAACTACTTGAAAAGAAAAATATAAATTTAGGACAGGCTAAAACGAAATACGGATTGACAAAATATAGATACGGCTATATAAAACAAGATAAATAGGATACACACGTGTATATATATATATATATACATATACATGTGTATATATATATATATATATATATATATATATATATATATATATATATATATATATATATATATATATATATATATATATATATATATATATATATATATATATATAAACAATATGTATTTAATTTCATTTTGTGTAATTTAGGCCACAATTTATCCATCGCATCCTATATACAGGTGCGATGTATAAATTGTCGTCTTATTACACAAAAATGAAAATAACACTGGCATGTCATTTCAACAGATATATTTACCAAAATTACCTAAGAATATCTTGAAATACTACAGAGTTAATTTGTTCAGTAAAATCGCCATTGTCTTCAACCACGGCCTTCAGACGACCTTGGAATCTCCTGCAAATCTTCTGGACGGTCTCCTATTTTAAGTTGGTGAATGCTGCCAAAATCGCTGCCTTCATGTTCTTTGGTTTTACAAGGAGTTTTGTTGGTCTTTCGCTCAAATGCGCCCCAGTAAGAGGTTATATAGAAATATAGAGAGGAAAGAAAGAAAGCGATAGATATATAGATAGATAGATAGATAGATAGATAGATAGATAGATAATGTTATTTTCATTCGGGGATTTGTATATGAGACAAAAGATTCTTTTTGCACGTCATTTTTCTGTTTGAAAGCACCACTCCCTTTTCTTTTCCTTCAACAGTTAAAAATTTCCTTCTACTCATAACGGACAGTGAAAATAGAGAATGTATATATATATATATATATATATATATATATATATATATATATATATTATTAATATTATGTGTAGTAACTAGTTTACATTTTAAACTAGTTACAGCATATTACATTGCATCTAGACATATAGTTCTGTTAATATTTCGGTCTCTCGCATGGTGTGACGTCATAGAACCGCATAATGAACTTAAGACCTGCGTCTGCTATTCCACGACCGTTATCGTCATATAGCAATCGTCTATTTCCATATAACAAAATATAATTTTCGATGGTGAATATCTTTTTTAAAATGTCCGTATAACCACTCAGAAGATGGATCATGTGAGACAAAAGCTTAGATCAAGGACAAAATTAATAAAAAAAAATCTTTCACCCGAAATTAAAGCAAACATACGAACTTTATAATGGCTCCTGATCAGAGATAGTAAGCATTCATTGTCTGTTATATTTTTAATATAATATATATATATATATATATATATATATATATATATATATATATATATATATATATTCTACTCTTTTGTATTTTTTATATGAGGGTCAAGCAGCTAAGTTCTTGGAACCGACAGTGCATGAGATTTGATTATAGTGGTGAAGGTTTTGTACATACAGAGCTTGAATACCAAAACTACATTTTAAGGTCCCCAAACGACCCTCCTCCGCAGGTTTTGAATTCAGATTTTGTCTTTCTCCTAGACCAGTTGCCATCCAAGGATATAGAATCCAGTCTGTCCTGCTATTTACCCATAGCTGGGAGAATAAGAGGATCTCGGCTCTCCGATTCCTCAATCCGAGCCACTAACCATTACTCCACCGTACTCTTTTATATATATATATATATATATATATATATATACGTTTGTATTTTCTTTTGATGATATCCCCCCCCTCTCTCTGTATATATTTATGTGAATGGTTTGGTTTGGTTTGATTTGGCTTATTTGGTTTTACGCCATATCAACCTCAATGGGTTATTTAATGTCGACACCATTTTTTATTGCTGGTAATATTTTGTTTTGTCAAAAATCTGTTTCTGACAATATTTTTCCTTCAAAATTGTATTGCTGGTAATGATTTTTTCAGAAAAGGATTGCTGGTAATAGTTAACTATTTGCCCATAGCTGGGATCCCTAACAGGTGCTACCACCCTGAGTCAGGATGGGCCTGGGAACACCAGCAATTAAGAGGTGGTTCCACGCTCCTCAAAACCTCCTGATCAGAGACCTTGCTGCTGGATGTAGTTTATCGTCTTACCCAGGACGCGGATGTAGTTTAACGTCTTGCCCAGGAAGATCTCTGTCGATGAATCCATCCACAGAGAAATAGCATTGATTTTTCACTCGTCTGTTTATGTCTATTCTTATTCTCCCTTGCACTTATTCATCCATTCCCAATGATTTATGACTCGTGTTGCCTTCCAGTATTTGGACTGCTAGTTAAATATCACAATAACAAAAAAAAAAAAGATGGTTGAAATTCTTGGAAACATAATGAGGAAGTAAGATTAGGAGACTTTAACACTCACAGGAAACATTGAAGGTAAGAGGAGAAAAGCCAAGGAAATCAGCGGATAACATACTTGATAATGTATAAGTAACGCACAATGTGACACAGAATTCGGAAGAGGCATATGATTAACAATGCTTGTCCCAGTTAACAACAGATTGCTGGTCATTTTAAGATTAACTGACAGATTTAATTTATCGAACCCTTTGGAAATATGCCATGTTTGTCTGCCTAATTTAAATTCTTAACAGCTTTACTCTAGATTTTAAAATATTGATTTCAAACAATATGTTGTCGGGTATCATCTGGAACTGTTATTAATTTTTTTTAAATATTTTAAATATGAAGCGAGATAAAGTATTTAGTTTACATGACATGAAGATACGCCTTTTTATCTAACAAAACTATAAGCGACTTATCAGTGACCTCAATTAAATTCGGTTTTCTTTATCACCGTTAGAAATCTTAATAGTTACTTAAATCTAATCGAATTCTCGAGTCTAATCTATTGATCAGTTTTATCAATATCTTTCGATCGAAAAATGTTTATGTAAACTTGTTCTTCCATTAATTGGTTTGTTCATGAATTGCAAAAAATACGTAAAAATATTGACAAATTTTTTTAGCCTGTATTTCATGTATGCACACACACACACACACACACATATATATATATATATATATATATATATATATATATATATATATATATATATATATATGAATACTAATATTAATGTGTTTGTGTGTGCATTTATTTATATCAATGCTTGTGTCATCTGTTCATCGGTCGCCATGGCCCAGTGAGCCATCGGCAGCCATTTCGTTCTACTTGAATCCGTGAAAAGAAAATATTCCCTTTGATCTATTTGCAATATATTTATTCTATTTTATAACTACAAGCGATCTTCCTGAGATAACCATCTTGAAAGCGTGACGAGAAATTAATTTAAGCAAGAAGAGATGTTCATGAACCATGATCTGTTTCCCCTCTTCTCTGGGCACAATAAAGATGTTACAGACGACAAAATAGGTAGTTAGTGGTTTTTTTATAGAGTTTTTATTATTTATATAGAGTCGTTCTTTTTCTTTCTTTAACATGTTTGTAACGCTTGGCATTTCTGCAGTTTATTTGAGGTTTTAACGTACAAATCTTTATTTATAACCGTATTTCCTGACGTCGATGACAATCCGGCATCAAGGACGAACTTCTCTTTCCACTTACGAAATTACACAAAAAAAAAGAAAGAATTAAATCCCGTAAAATAAAAATATAAACTACGGCATTTAGGACGACGGACAAATGTTCGAGGATAACCCTTCGTACTTATTGTCTGATATCAACCACCTTAGTCAGTAAACCCCGATCTTTTATGTTTCTTCAGCCTGGGTGAATTTCAGTATTCAGAGAGCTCAATGTAAATCCAGAGCAAATAATTTAAATAAAAACAGACCACTTTAAGGTTCCATGTAATAAATTATTTCACCACAACCCTTTTAAAAGGACTGCGGATCATCAGACTTTACTTCCAAACAAAAAATGAAAAGAAAATTTACACATTTTTGACGGGCCGTATTAAGCATATGTAAATTAACGAAGTGAGGAAGTGAGAGAAGACATGAGTGAGTTAGCAGATATTGACACATTTAAACGGTTAACTTAACGGAAGTTATATATTGAAATCGAAGGGGTAGAGAAGAAAAAACTCATAGAGAGAAAAAAGAACAGAGAGAAGGAAGTTAAGAGAGAAGAGAAGATGTCACTAATTTTCTTTGTAAAAAAAAAACTAGAAACAGACGCTGTTATTTTGCTTTACTTTGAAAGTGTTATTTTGGAGGTTCATAAAGATTATATATATATATATGTGTGTGTGTGTGTGTGTCTGTGTGTGTGTTGGACTCTCCTGTAGTTTTTTCGATGTATGAGGGTCAGGCAACTCTGTTTCTAGGAACCGACAGTGAGACACCCGCACATATGACTTGATTGCAGTAGTGAAGGCTTTGTGCTGAACCAACCATACTTTTTGAAGAGCCGAATACAGAGACCTGCGACAAGGTCTCCAAACGACTCACAGGTTTTGAATGCAGAGTTGTCCTTCTCCTAGACTAGTTGCCATCCAAGGCTAAACAACCCTGCTCTTTACCCAAAACTGGAGAGAGAAGAAAAGGGTATTAGCACATTAGCCAACATATTCAGTTTTATGGGTATTAGTTTGTAACCTTGCGGTGATCGCAAAATCTATAGAACTGAATATATATATATATATATATATGTGTGTGTGTGTGTGTGTGTGTGTGTGTGTGTGTGTGTGTGTGTGTGTTTTCTGTAAAATTCAGATATAACTAAAATATATCTGTAAAAGACAATATGAATTTGTACTTTATTTATAGATACATGTTTTTTTACACATTTATATATATGTGTGTGTGTGTGTGTGTGTGCGTGGGTGGGTTTAACTTTTAAATGATGTCACCGCTAGTGAATTCGTTTTGTCACTTGATAACCAACTATTATGGCTTTTTGGCAGATTACTTTAAACAAATATCTGAATATTTAGTTTACTCGTCGCAATGAAATAATAGTTTTTTTTTAATATACCAACAACAGTTTTGAAGGAATGTTGTATGACAAAGTGATGAAAGCTTTTGTGTTTCGTCCCCTTAAGACTTCATCAGACTAGCCTTGTTTAACGTTGATGAGACTATACGTGCGGTCGAACGAGAGACACTGGGAAATTAAACCTAGAATTTTTTAACTTTTTTTTGTTATTAAATATCCCACATTGTGATAACAAAAGAATTTTGAAACATTATAAGAAACTGGAGATAAATTTACTGTGGAAGATCTAGCGATTAAAGCACTTTCTAAATATTTTCGTCTAAGTGAATTATTTTCTCTTTTAATTAGAATAACATCTTTTATGTGAAAATTGTGGTCTGTCTCGTTACGGTAAACAACTAATGCGTTTAATGTGCTGTTTTTTAAATATCTTTTTCGTGTTAATGTAATCTTTTATTTATGCTTCTTGAGGTTTCTCCAATATATTCTTTTTGGCAATCTTTGCAGTTGATAGAGTAAATTTCTCCTTCAAGTTTTGGCTCGTTGTTTTGTTTTGTATTGATTTTATACTTTTATTGCTTTAGATGGAGTTGTGACAAATTTTATGTTGGGTTTAGATTCATTTTTTTCGATTGTAGTTGTGAGAGTTAGTGAGTAGAACAATATATATTTTTTGATTCGTTAGTTTTGTCATTATTTCAGGAATAACCAGCGCACCCCTTCCCCACAAACTAGCTAAAGCCTACCATAGTTTAGGTGTCGATAATGTCATCATGTAGACTAATCACATGAAGTGTAATGAGTTCCATCTTAATTGGAAGATCCACTAATGAAGATAATCAAAAAGAGTAATCTAAATTTAGCATTTTCTCCCCTCCTCTCCCCCCCTCTCTTCCCCCCTCTCTCCCCTCCTCTCTCCCCCTCCTCTCCCCTCTCTGCCTCTCTTCCCTCTCTCTGCCTCTCTTCCCTCTCTCTTCCCTCCTCTCTCTCCCAACTCTCTCTCCTCCTCTTCTCCTCTCCCTCTCTGTCTGTGTTATTACTCAGCATAAATAATATACTATTTTCGTCCACTCCTTATCTACATGAATGTATCTTACGTAATTATATAAATATGAATGAAATAATAAATAAATTAAATTAAATTTGTTTACTTATCTGAGAATTACATACTCTTCTTTTATCATCAAGTTTTCTGAAGAATGGATGTGATTCCGCTGAACTTAGAGTAGAGACATTCAGAAGATAAATGAACAAATTTAATTTATTTATTTATTTTGGTATCACACGTTGACGTAGTCAATGGAAATTCTGTTTTTGTGGCATAGTTTTAACAGGACTTCTCAAAACAACTTATTCAGAATACTCGCAAATATAAATGATAGCAGTTTTCTGGCGGTGTACAATCTTTATTATTATTACCATTATTATTAATAATACTCTACCTGTTGATATCGTGTACTATACTTAAAAGATTGTCTTAAAATGTTATCTTGCAGAATTAACTATGGTCGACTGTTTTTGCGAAATATAATCTTTGCTATTGACGTTGTAAATATGATAGATAGATAGATAGATAGATAGATAGATAGATAGATAGATAGATAGATAGATAGATAGATAGATATTATTTAGACGTGAAGAAATGGTTTTTCATAGGTAGATTTTTTAACTACTTCGGAGTGTTTGTCATTGAAATCCAAATCTCGTCTGCTGACTACAAACACTAAACTCTTTCATGTTTAGATAGATAGGTAGGAAACAGACTGACATAGATAGATAGATAGATAGATAGATAGATAGATACTAATACAACATTTATAGTATTAATATATCTTTAGCAATTTACGAAACTATCGACACTATCGAAATCTCACAGTTTTTTTATTTCAGCAAAATCTCATCCGACCAATTGCTTGGCTCTTCTCGCGCCTTGTCTCTATTGTGTGAACATTTTGTGTCTTTGATCGTCTGCTCGCTTACAATTTGTAAAACATTATCTAAACTTTTCTTTAAGTTTATTTTTTCTCAGCTGAAAATTCGGTGACTTATTTTTAAAATAACTTTCTTCGTTGTCGTAGTTTTTAGTTCCAAATTTAACTAGATCAGGTTCTTTTTATGGGTCATGGCAAGGCATTATTACGAATTAATTTTATTTTTGGTATCAATTCAGACTTCAAATGATTCCGTATCGTTATGGAATATCAAGACGAATAAATGAGATTATTGTTCTAGATTCTTATATCAGTACATTTCGCCTCACGTTAATTTTCTTTTGTGTTTGTATGCGCATGCGCGTGTGTGCGGCTCATGTAGTAAAGATTGCTTCATTTTAAAAGCCGAGTTTTAAAAGATGCAAAGTATATATGTAACGAAGTGGATAATTTTTCTTTTTTTATGAGCCGTGTCCTCTCATGACGTAGGCGACCATGGCCCTCCACATCCTCCTTTTCCCTGTAGTTTTCCCAAACTCTATTTAACAATCAATTTACTCAAGACCATTAAGTTATGCATTGTTTTCCTCTGTCCCTCTTTCCCTCAATCTGTCTTGTGAGTTTCAATTTTTCCAAGCCCTCCTTCCTCATTACGTGCCTCATATATTTCAACTGCCTCTTTCTGATGTTAAGTATAAGATTCTTTTGCGTTTTCATTTTCCCACCTCTTCGTTGCTCACATCTTCGGTCCCTGGTATACTCAGCATCTTTCTGTAGAACCAGATTTCTGTTGCTTCAAGTCTATTCTTCATCTTTGAGAAGATTGTTCAGCATTCACTGCCATATAGGAGGACAGATAACACTTAAATACTCATTTCTTTGTTTCTAACGAAATGTTTCTGTCTCTTAATACTCTGTTTAGCTTTTGGAATGTATCTTTGGACATCCCATTACGTCTTTGGATTTCAGTGTAAAAGGTACAATAATCAAGAAAGAAAGAAGAAATGGAAACGAAAGAAAGAAAGAAAGAAAGAAAGAAAGAAAAGAAAGAAAGAAAACGGAAGGCAAATAAAAAAGAAACTATAAAAGAAATTGTAATCAAAAAAGAAAGAAGAAATGGAACAGAAAGAAAGAAAGAAAGAAAGAAAGAAAGAAAGAAAGAAAGAAAAAGAAAAAGGTAAAATAATCAAGAAAGAAAGAAGAAATGGATAAGAAAGAAAGAAAGAAAGAAAGAAAGAAAGAAGAATGCATGGAACAGGAAGAAAAAAGATGTGAGTTAAAAGATGATTAAGAAAGAATAAATATATCACATCAGAGAGAGAGAGAGAGAGAGAGAGAGAAATAGGGAAAAGAATGAAGAAATAGAATGAAGACTAAGAAAACAAAAAAAAAAGAAAAAAACTGTGCAAAGTTGCTGAAAATTGGCCAATGGCAAACCTTTTGGGAAAATAAAAGAAAAAATGTAGGTTTACGAGGAGAGCATCTCTAGTTGCTGATGATATGCCGATCGTTGTATGCTCTTGTAAATAGATTTAGTAATGAAACGAAAACTAGCCAGTCGGAAAATATGAGTTGTCGCTGAGGTGGGAGTGTAAAAATGCCATACTGAGGCAGATCCAAATGTCCAGTATTCATATTGGGGAAAGAAACTGAAAGCCTTGGCTTAAAAAATACAAATCAGTATACCAAACTGTTTTTATATAACCCTCTTTCTTTCTTTCTTTCTTTCTTTCTTTCTTTGCTGCCTTCCTTCTTTTATGCCCTCCTTCCTTGTTTCTTTTATTCCTTCTTTGTTATTTGTTTCATTTTATTTTGCTTTCGTCTTTCGTTATTTTCTTTTTACTCTTCTTCTCCTTCTTCTTCTTCTTCTTCTTCTTCCTTCCTTCCTTCCTTCCTTCCTCCTTTCTACTCTCTTTCCTCTTTTCCTTCTTCATGTCTTCTCTAGTTCTTTCCATATTTTTTTCGGTTTTAATTCTTTCCTTTCTTTTCTCATTCTTCTCTTCCTTCCTTTTTCTTTCAATTGTTCTTTCTTTTTCCTTCCTTCTTTCTTCCAACCTTCTTTCTTTCATTCTTTCGTTTTTCATTCTTCCTTCTTCACTTTCTTTCTTTCTTTCTTTCTTTCCTTCTTTCTTTCGTTTTTAGTCTTTCTTTCCTTCCTTCTATCGTTCTTTCATTCTTTTCTGTCTTCTATCATTCTTACTTTCTTTTCTCTTCTCTGTTCACCTTCCTTATTGCTTTCTTTCCTTTCTTGTTTCCTTTCTGTATATCATACAGCCATATTCAGTGGACACGCGATTAAACTATCTCCCCATTTGGATTTCACTAATCGATGCTATAATAAACTTGATGACACCAAGTTTCCTTTGCATGACGAAATTCCTCTTAGTATTACTTACATATTAGACAATGTGAATCTTCACTGAATTCTCCTTTTATTGGTGTTGTAACCTAGGAAAGGTTACTGAATGAGGAATAACCAAAATGGAGGTTGGAAATGAAATGGTAATCTTTATAACATCAACAAAATACAATACTCGCCAGCGGCGTGAAGTAGGTAAACCACTTCTAGTAGTAGACTACTTAAACAGCATATTACCCCCACTTATAATAATAATGTCCGACGTAGTTATGAGGATTGGGACATACTCATCAGTGTTCATAGGTACGGTATATAAGAATTGGTGACAGCAAAATCCTCAAATTCCAACGGCTTTCAGAATGGCAATTATTATATTATTATTATTATTATTGTTTGCTTGTGTAATCGTTACGCTTTATATATAGGATCAGAATTTAGTATCTGCCACATCTGCTGATCTTATGAGTTGGGATCAGTTATGCTTTCTGACCAAGAAATGTCGATAATAATAAGAAGGAAATGGGAACACGAGAGAGGAGGAGGGCGAAAAAGAGGCGTGTGCGATAAAAAATAACAGGTATGAAAGCCAAAGATGTACATACAGAGAAATAGGGAAAGAGAATCGAAAGAAGCACATAAAGAGAGAGGAGAAAGGAATTGAGTAGAAAGAAAAAGATAGATTGAGAGGGGAAGAAATGGAGACGAAATCAAAAGTCAGGCTCCCTGGTTAGATATCAAGAATGCAATAAAGGAATGACTGAACGGCAGGTAAGGAGAGAAAAGCACCAAAATTACAATTCATTAAAATTCTTTATGCAGAAATTAAATTAAAGATAAAAAGAGAATGCAAAAGAAAATATTTACGCTTTTCCTATTCTTTTTCCACACATAAATTCATGTTTGTATACCATTTTGATATAAAAAAAAAAAAAAAAAAAGGAAAATGATTTTGGGATTCCCTTCCTGTGTTGCAAACAATCTTGCCATCTCAAATTTAAGATCAGAGGAGCTCGTAATTTTCTCAATAACCTTGTTTGCTATATTTATGTCATTTGGTATGGCGACATCAATAATACGACAGTTCTTGGTGCCATTATCTAGCACAGTAATATCCAGACGGTGTTGGTATATATTTATATGACATCCTTGATTTTTGTATATAAACACAGGCAAAACAATAAATCTTTCCATTTGTCTTGATAAAGTCTCTCAGAGGACAAAGAAACGCGTAGGCTAAAAAATAGTTTTTCCTCTTATTTTTTATTCATATATATATATATATATATATATATATATATATATATATATATATATATATATATATATATATATATGTGTCCATAAAGTTCGTGTGCACTTTAAAAAATTTATAACTTTATTTGTATTTGCGATAGAAATAATTTTCAAAAAAAGGATTAGAAAAAAGTAAATCTTTTATTTTTTTTAAGGTTTTATTGAAATTTTATTTAAGTTTCCACATGTCCTCCATCATTAGCAATACAAAGGGTAATACGATTTTGCAGTTCACGGAAAACATTTGCCAACTGATTTACAGTAATGCCTGAAATCACATTAGTTATTTTAGCTATACTTAAAACTAAGTACATTAAACTTTCTAATATTTTTTACAGATTATTTCTATCGCAAATACAAATAAAGTTATAAATTTTTTAAAGTGCATACGAATTTTATGGACACTCTGTATATATATATATGCATGTGTGTGTGTGTGTGTGTGTGTGTTTGTGTGCGTATGTGTTCGTGTGTTCAAAAACTGTTCCCATCAAAATATTTTAAAACATAATTGATCTTCCAAAAATAAGATGTCATCGGAGATTAAATAAAATGACTTCTCAATCTACAACATCCTCCAAAGTATTCTCATTTATCCCATCACTTACCATGGTGTGTGTGTGTGTGTGTGTGTGTGTGTGTGTGTGTGTGTGTGTGTGTGTGTGTGTATGTTTTTTTTAGAAAAATGCGCGTTTTTACTCGTGTGTTTGTGTGCATGCGCATGTTAAAAAACCGTGCCCATCAACATATTGATCTCCCCAAAATAAGATGTTATGTAGACTAAATAACATGCCTTCTCAACCTCCAGCACCTTCCTCAGTATCCTCAATGTCTACAACACTTCGGGTTTGGATAATTTCAACCCTTCCTAAAATCTCCAATTCGTCCAATCTCGCCTTTAGTATTTTATTTCATAACAATTACAAATATCATATAATAATTTTTCTTGTCCCTTTCTTCGTTAGTCCGCACGACCGTTACGTCCTGCCAATACCTTATAAATGGTGGACTATTCCGTTTTGATCGCGTGGAAAGACAAATGACATATCAGAGACGCCACTTAGTTTCAGTGAAAGAAGCCAAAAAAGAAATATCGGGGTGTTTAATGTCTCTTGATAATACTTAATAAATAATGGACTATTCCGTTTTGACCGTGTGAGAATACAAAAGACATATCAAAGACGCTACTTGCCTTCAGTGAGAAACTGAAAGAAAGAAGAGAAGATAGAAGTGTTTAACGTCTGTTTCAGTGAAATGGAAAAAGATTTCAGTTTAGATTGCAATATGAGCACTGGTAAAAAATGATTGCCGGGACATTAGATTTATAAGTCCCCAAAATTCATGCAGATGGCCCAGTGGATAAAGGCGTGGTTAGACCAGTGACTAGACCCAAAGAGTTATGAGTTCAATACCTGGCTAGATCTGAGGCAAATAAAAACTTGGAGAGTTAAAGGGAAATAACCGAGACATCCGGAACTAGAACAATCTACATCGGTGGACGAAATAAAGGTTTGGTTTTGAATTCCCAATCACCTGAAGAAGACCGGAACGTACAACGCCCGAGAAGTTGTGAATATGGCAATGAAGATAAGGATAACAATCCGAATAATGTAAATAATGTAATCTAATTCGCTTGCTGGGCACTTTCTTTTGCTGAAAGTCATACATTCTGTCATCTTGAAGGTGATAGTCCTTTCTTCTAGCTTTTCTTTACTACCTTCTGTAAGAGTTCTTGTAGTTTGCGTTCTGTGTTTCCATATGCATAATTAAAAACTAAGTCCTTGTTTATGCACACACAGACAATATCTTCATCTTTCTTTTTTCTCATTCATCTGCGAATATATTTTCTAGTTGTCGATAACTTTCAATATTCTCAAATCTCCACAAACCATACTTTTTCCATGGCTCTGGCCAAAATAAATATTGTCCAAAAAAATGTTAATCTGACTTTGTATGACCATTATATAAGAGTTGATGAGCCATAAAACCTGATTTGTTCATTAATTCTCCCCGTTCACTCTTTCTCTCGCTATCTACTTTGCCCTCAGCTTTTATCGTCTGCTTTCAGTCATTTTGTTTATTCCTTTTTATTCTTTCCCTCTTCCCGCCATTCGCACTCTATCAATTATGCTTGTACAAGACATCGCAACACGTTGCATTAGCTTTAAATTAATTTGAGCCGGGGATAAAGTGTGATGAGCCATAATCATAAGCCTTCACCCTCCATTAGAATTTTACCCAGACCAACGCCTGCTCATAGGCTCACAACTGATTCCTTTCACGATAATCAGCCAACATCTAAAAACTAACATCATTATCATTATCGTCTTCTGTAATGTTATTATTATTGCTTAATCTTCCTTCCTGATGTTGTTGTTGTTGTTGTTATTATTATTATTATTATTTTCTTCCTCTTCATTCCGTCTTTTATTTCCTCTTCGTTCTCCTTTTTAACTCTTTTCTTTCTTTTTTGCTTTTTTTTTCTTATATCAACATTTTTCCTCCTTCTCCTCCTTCATCTTTATAGTGCTACTATTTTTTGAAAACGATGTCCTTGGTTTGTGAACTCTCTTCAAGCCCTTGCATACTTTTCTTCACTTTCTGTGCTGATATTTATTTTATTATTATTATTAGTAGTAGTAGTAGTAGTAGTAGTAGTAGTAGTAGTAATAGTTACGTTGATATTGTAACGTTTTGCAGATGTTTCAGACATTTTCTGTTCTTTTTTCTATCTTGTCTCGGCAGTTTTAAAATTTTAAGTTATTTTACATCTTTTTCGTTTGTTTTATATTTTACAATTAATTTAATTTTATTTATTTTCATTTATTTGTTATTATGTTTGTTTTATTTCTATTTTTCTACAAGTTTTTATTTTTATTGACTTTTTTCTTTTTTTTTTTTTTTTTCGGGGCTTTGTGAGGGGCTCACAGAGAATTACTGGGAGAATCATGAACCTCGGCTTCCCAAATCTTTCTTTTGATCATAGATTGGTCTGACCATAAAATGTCCGCGCTGGAAAACTAAGTGAAAATTCCTCAACCAGACCCAGACCCAAACGCATTCCTATCTCACTGCACAGCCACACTTACAGACGCACTCATACCGCTGTACACAGGAACATCCAATCTGCTATACTTTAATAAGACACCCACTGCCAAACCCGACAACTAGCAATCAAGTGAGGCCTTAACTCCTTCAGCGTACATATAAATCACGATTGCATTCACCATTTTGTGAGAGTCAGTCGATGTATAGAGAAAGAGAGCGAGAAAAAGAAAGAGGGTGGAGAAATTATGTTTTTAACGATTCATTCATGAAGTCCAATGCCAGGAAATGAAGTCAGTTAGAATTTGCTATTCTGCAATTCTCACTTTCACTTTCACTTTCTTCTTCTTTCATATCTATCTCATTTTATATATGAGTGTTTACTTTCAATGTTCACTTTTATATATATATATATATATATATATATATATATATATATATATTGGTCTGAATATCTCATAGATGTGAAACTAGTAGTCACCATGCGTTGTTGATTTCTATGTCCATACTGTCTAGACCAGTAAATGGTCTGATATTGAGCACTATATTTTAAAAAAGTATACGTGCACACACACATGCATATATATATATATATATATATATATATATATATATATATATATATATGTATGTATGTAAAATGTTTATATATGTATGTGTATATATATATATATATATATATATATATGTAAAATGTTGATATATATATATATATATATATATATA